AGAATCATTCTGCACTTTAAGGCTGAATGGAAGTGGAGTGGGATGCTTGTGGCAGGGGCCATTTAGCGCAGGGAGGTTTGCAGGATAGAAAATCAACAGGCAATGTGTAGTTATGCTACTCACTGATTAAAAGAGATCAACACCATTGATTTTCTGTACACTTAAATCATTCTCTCTTATAGGATTTCAGTCAACAGCTTTGGTGGCAAAGACTGCTGGTGTCGGAGCCATTTATCCTTTCCCTCTTCTGTCGATATGTGGAAAGCACCCAACGACGTAATTCAGTTAAAATGACTAACCCATCATTGGACCGTGTCATTTTAAGGCCCCCGTCTATTTAGCCAAAGTACAAGTTTCTAAACAGAAAAGACATTGGTTAACATTCTTTAAAACGGCAATAGCGAGCGTTTTGCTTTGTAGGGGGTGAAAAAGACCTTTAAAGTAAATTGAAACATCCCGTCCACTCGTGTAGCAGTAATACAACATGGGGGCAAAAGCAATTTGTAGAAACGCTTAGTTTTTTACCCTAATTACACACTTACTTCCAGCTGTGCAGCTGGTGGAGGGAAGCTATTTGCTGTTAATGAGTATCCAACGGTCTTACAAAAAAATACGTAATGCTGTGCAGGCGCTGCTGTTCATATTAGGGAAGAAAGCGAATTCGAAATGCATTTAACTTTAGTCATTTGAAACTTTCTATAAGTGTTTAACTCTTAAGGAACACAGAGAAACAGAATGGCAATTTCCAATGAACGTGTGATGAGTGTTACAATCAGCCGGAACAGCAGGGACATCTTCACGAGAGTCTCTCCTCGCCTCTTCCTCTCTCTCCAGCAGAAGACGTCTAAATTAAAGGCATTTAGCAGACGCTCTTATCCACAGCGACTTACAAAAGTGCATCGTTTTCCCATGTGAGACCTCTATGTTCATTCAACAGATGGCAAACATGCCGGCACGAATGGTTTACTGGTAGTAGGGAAACAGTGCCTGTAAAAAGGCAAAATCTGTGTGAGAGTGTGTATGTCATGAATGGGTTTACTATTGTGAAAATAATAATTCTAGAATGCATGACCATATATGAATGCAAAGAGGGTGTCAAAATGACTCGTACTAGATTCATTGGTTTTCTACCATGAAAAGGCAGCTGTTCAATTAAATTATTTTACTTTATTATACACAAATGTATACATGTTTCAATAATGTTAGTTTGTTCACTTTACATGTACATATTAAATAAAAAATGAAATTTGACTAATTATACATTGCATTTCAAGCTGTGAATTTTGATAAAGACAGAAAATTATTATGATGTCAAAATATGTAACTTACACAGCTGCAAACCACAAATCATAATTCCTCTTGCTTTGTTCTGGTTTGAAACAACCACTTTTCACAATCCAGTCACTTTCTGATGGATCAAATCAAGCCCTACCCACTTTTACCTGTTTCACTGAGAAATATGTCACACTACAGATATAAAATAAGTTGAAAATCATGCTTTATGGTGACTTTGAGATTATGAGGGCTATGAAGTGAGGGTGTGACAAGGCCTGTTATGATATTTGGATGAATGTCTCACATGGACAGAATACATGGCGAGAAGCAGATGGCATGTCTATATCTTCACTTCTTCTGACTGAAGACACATCAGATGACTTTAAAAGTGAGAAACGCCAAAATTTACAGTGGACAGATGTTCCCTGCTTTGATGTGTGGAGATGCAAGACGTTTCAATCGAGAGTAAAACGGACAGTTCACTCAAAAAATCCCTGTCATCTTGTACTCACCCTCATGTAGTTCCAAACATGTATGACTTTTTTCTTCTGTGAAGAAGATATTTTGAAGAATGTCTCAGTTTTCTTTTTTTGTCCATACAATACATGTCAATGTGGTCCATGTTGTTTTGGACCCCACTGGCTTTCATTGTATATATAAAAACAGACTGAAAAACTCTTCAAAATATCTTCTTTTGTACTGCAAATTATAGAAAGTAAGTCATACAGTACATGATTCATTTTAATTTTTCACGTGAACTATCCGTTTAAAACTCACAATCTGAAGTTTACGTACTTAGCCCAAGAATGAAAACAAGGGCTTAATAATGTTAATCATGATGTAGAATTTTAGTTGGAATTTTGATATTAATTTGACACCGTTAGATTATTTGGTTTGTTAAGGCTCGGAGTTAAAGTGATTGGTTAGCAGACACCATCACAGAGTTTGCCATTTCAGTGGTGGCATGTTTGAAGGGCAACGGCACTGACATTTCCCTTGTTGCCGGAAACTGTCTAACAAGGTATTCCATGGTGTCACCAGCCGCTCAGTTCAGAAGTGTAAGAGACAGACGTTTACAGCTGAAAATAGCTCACTCATTATCAGTGCAGAAGAAATGAGTGGAGAGAGATTTCCATAATCAGCCCAAAATAAAACAGCGACATTTTGGTCCATCCTCACCTATTACTCTTCCCAAAGGTAAAGGCAGACATGATAGAGGTTTAAAACAATTAAAAAGCATATTTACGTTCCAAGGACTAAACGTTTAGCACTCAAATCTAAAAAGAGACCAAAGACGTAATGTGCCCTGTATAATGTTCCAAATGCAAAGATTAATTCCACACCAGTACATGCTAATCAAAGGCAACTCCCAATCACTCATTACGTAAGTTTCGAAACTGCCTATAAAATACGGCAGCTTAATTCCCTTTACTCTAGAGTTGTGCTCTAGATTTAGTTCATTTGGCAGCAGAGGATTGTTTCCATCAGCGCTACACTGCTATAATGGGGCGAGCGTGTATGTGTGTGTCCATGTGTGTCATAAAGGGTAAAGGCAGGGGGTGAGGGTTTAGTGAAATGCCCTTAGTTATATTGCCCATTACAGAGCCCCAGGAGTCCCTGTGGACCACCAACATGGGCCACAATAAAACTAGTGGACAGATGGAGATAGCCAGAGAAATATTCCCCATTCACATAAAAAAAAAAAAAAAGACATCCAGACCCCCATTAAACTACAAGGTCACTTGTTTGATACGACTATGTGATAAGATACAACTTTTTTTGTTTGTTTACTCTCAGTTTCATTATATACTCCCAATATTCTATACTGCATAGTCAGAAGTTTTTGAATTTGTAGGAAAAAGCAGCAAATAATAAAAAGCATCTATAATTAAGAATAAGTTTTCAGAAGGTTCACAAGAACAGCATTTTTTTTTAAAAGGGATTTTTTTTTTGCAACAGTGTAGAAGTGTTTACTGTAACTTTTAACCAATGTAATGCATTATTGTTTATATATATATATATATATATATATATATATACTGCCACCGGTGAAAGTTACACCCTGTTGTTGACCTTAAGCTGAACAGTTATTCACAGATTTGACGGCAGTAGAGTGGGGTAAGCTTTGCCACAGACTTCTTATTACCTATGTAATAATGTGAAATATCTTTACAATTTAAAATAACTGTGTTCTGTGTTATATATTTTAAAATATAGATAGTTTTGGCCATGAATATATATATATTGTAATATATTTTTTTTTATATATATATATATATATATATATATATATATATATATATTATGGTGTATTAATCAAAATGATCTTCTACATAATTTATACTACACAACACATTTTTTAATATGTGTTGAGACAATAGTGCAATATATATATTTTTTATTTAAACATTCAGATAGCACATATAAGTTTGTGTTTGGATGTCCACATTTTTTAATATATATTGTATGAGCAGTATAAATAAAAAAGGAAACACTCTAATGACCTCATTGTTCATTTATGAACTAAAGACCCCTTGGTGACAAACATTGTCTGAAAATGAATCCCTTTGTCTTTCAGAAAAGCAGGTTAATTACCAAACCAGCATCCATTACACGAGTGCTGAATTATTTACATTTTGGACACATCCAGCCAAATAGAAGCTCTCGCCATGGATAAACTGTTGGAAAAGAGCTGCTGGGCTTCAGTGTGGCGTACATATTGATTTTTAATAATTTGAAAAGAACATTGTGCAGCTCAGCAAAATAAAACACATCATTCTGAAGTAATTCACAGTTGTCATGGGTGATCTGAGGAACAGTTTTTTTTTATATTGTAGCTGTTGAGTGACAAACTTCTTATTGGCACTGACACAAAGATTAATGTAGAAGTGAAGCTGTGCAATTCAAAACAGAGCCGTTTGAGAGACATCATTATTCTCGGATTGATTATTTACAAGGACATGCAACAGAAAGAAAAAGAAACCGCCCACAAGGTATCCACTCACAGAGGTGTTGCGTTGTATGAAATGCACAGAATGCTAACACCCTGCCAACACCCTAAATCTCTCCCGTTATAATCAATGCAGCACTGACGCATACACTGGAAGCATATGTTGTGTCGCGTCGAGATGTGTCTATTTTTGAAACCCTGCAGAGCTACTCCTACCACATAATTATCCATGTCTGTATGAAACCAAATTAATGCACTTATATCACTTCACCTTTATTTTTTCTTTTGCTATGAGTTTTATTTGTAATGTATTTAAAACCAATGCCTTTGGTCTATTAATTAATTGTAATATATAAATAAATACACCACTGTTCTAAAGTTTGGAGTCTGGGATTTTTTAAATGTTGGACATTTTTTTAATGGATTCTTCGATGATTAGAATGTTCACAAGAACCGCATTTATTTGTAATATCATTTTTCTATAACTGTAAAAGTTTGGTCAATGTAATACATGTATGTTGAATAATAATTAAATAATTATAAGTATAATAAATATATAAGATACATAAATATTTGAACCATTCATTGATTTTATTGCTGAAGTCATCAGCCTCGCAGCTGATTACTGGTCAAGCCCAGTGTGAACAGGGCATCAGAAACACATCTCTACTGTGTACTCGGGCTTGTTTTTTTTTTGTTTTTTTTTTGTGTTGTTGACCTTTAGTATTGAAATTTGAAGATGTGGCCAATCAAGTTAGAAGAAGCTCTGACTTACAATGTGGAGCATGAGGTAGTCTCCCAGGCCGGGGGCACTGTCGATGCGGATCAGGATGCCATCCTTGAGTGAGGTGCTAAAGCCCACTGTCAGCCTGTCCGTACGGGTGCTCGGGCGCTCGTTGGCCGGCCAGTTAAAGGTTATGAGGCCTCCACCTTTTCCAAAGATATACGTTGTTCCAGCTGGAAAAGATGAGAATGCAAAGATCAGCATGTATTACTGAGGGCTTGACTCGAAATGTATTTGCAAGAAACAAATTATTTTCATGAAACTGTGTGCAGAAGAAAGAAAAAAAAAGAAAGTTTGAGCCTAATATCATGACATTTGGAAGTAGAAAGAATGAAATAGTATTTTCTTCTAAATAATTCTTATTTACAACTTCTTACAAAAAATCGTTTTAACTGTGTATTTAATGACATAAAATCCACTGAAATGTCATTCCAAACGCATTTATAAATAACAGCAGGACGAAAACCAGAATAAAACCACACATGGTCACATCCACAAACGGTAATAGTACAAGAACCAATGACGTGCCACTAAAATGTCCTCTTCAAGTTTCCACAACTAGGCCAAAGACTTTGAGAAAAGTTCTGACATTTTTAAGTTGTCAGCGGCTGCTCTTACCAGAGTTCTCGTAGCACTAGCGATCGGATCTTAAGCATGAATAATGCCCACACCTGGGTCAGAAAAGTCATAATTCTTCAAAAGAAAAAAAAAGAAAGTTTGAGCCTAATATCATGACATTTGGAAGTAGAAAGAATGAAATAGTATTTTCTTCTAAATAATTCTTATTTACAACTTCTTACAAAAAATCGTTTTAACTGTGTATTTAATGACATAAAATCCACTGAAATGTCATTCCAAACGCATTTATAAATAACAGCAGGACAGAATAAAACCACACATGGTCACATCCACAAACGGTAATAGTACAAGAACCAATGACGTGCCACTAAAATGTCCTCTTCAAGTTTCCACAACTAGGCCAAAGACTTTGAGAAAAGTCCTGACATTTTTAAGTTGTCAGCGGCAGCTCTTACCCGCGTTCTGGTAGCACTAGCGATCGGATCTTAAGCATGAATAATGCCCACACCTGGGTCAGAAAAGTCATAATTCTTCAGGCTCATATTCTCAGCAGAGCCTGCTGGAAAATGCTGTGACCTATTCAAGTTAAATATAACTCTTTCCAGGGAATAACAGCAGCAGCCTTTGATGAATGAATTCTGCTAATATCATGCATTATATGAGGGAAAAGGTAAACGCAAAAGGCTTCACCTGGAATAGAGGTAGGGCAATAATTCTTTCCGATTTGACTGGCCGCATACTGAAACTCGGAGAACGGTGTTACGGTAAACAAAAGCATTGTTGGGTAAACTGCACTTTCATGGGACTATTTGTTTTGGACAACAGTTGCAGCAGGGGGATTGTGTTGCAAAGCCATTCTGTTGTTTTTTTCCCCTGCTTTCAACACTCTACCAACAAATGGCTGCATGTGCGTTCGGAAAGGGGACAGCTGGCAGAACTGCCCTCCACTCAAGGGGCCTGTCAAGTAGAACATCTGGCCCTGGAGCGGATCATGCACTCACACAATATATCGCCCCCTCCATCTCAGATGTGCTGCCACTTGCAGTCCCTTTACGGCTCTCATTCTCAATTTGAGTCGTTGACTTCAGCGATTCTTTCCCACTACAGCTTGGCAAGTCGTCGGGGCAGCAGCATGTAATGTATATGCAAGATATGGCCAAATGCATAAAGAAGTTATGATTTTGCCATTACAGCCGACGCATCCGTCATTAACTTCTGACAGATCGCACCAATACACAACGGAAAAGTCAGAGCTGGAGATGCGATAGCGCCATAGGTGCAATCTTTTGCTCACGGACAAGATGGAACTGAACCTCATTTGCACTTATATGTGTCTGAGTTTGAATGAAAATTATTCAGAGGTAATGCATTTAATATCATAAGCAGAGGCACGAATTCTGTTGGTATTGCGTTTTTACTCTGAAAGCACTTAAAGGTTGTTACATTTTTTTTTTATGATTTTGGAGGTGTTCTAGACTTGCGCTATGTCAGACATGTAATGACTGTGAGGCTTTTAAAACAATTAAGAAACCTAAGTGTGCCGTCCTTTCTGCATTTTGATAAGCTCGCCGATATTTTCCGTGATGTATGTCAGATTAAGATGTAAAAGAGAAATGCAGCGGAACGTTTTCATAAAGAGGAAGTAGTGTCAACGGTTTATTCAAAAGCAGTGCCTGCCTGCAGAATGTTCTTTAATAAATTAGCTGCCAGCTTCAAACAACCCTGCTAATGTGAATCTTAACCTGATAAGCATTCAAATCAGGACAGAACCCCACCAACAGAAAAAAGAAGAACAAAGGACTTATTGAGACGTATACAAGGTATTTCTCAAAGCCTCTGGATTTTATTTTAGGGTTTCAGCACTAATGGTTTCCTCGGTTAAAATTTTCCATTAAGTAAAAGGGTAGTATCTCTTCAAATGGAGGGTGTTCTACCTTTAATGGATATCCTTCCAGTGACCTAGAATACATAGACTGAATTATCAATAAACAGTCAATTATTTCGCAGAGCCGAATGGAAAACATCCGGACCTTTCCCCACATTTTCGTACAGTGCAATGTGATATGTGTATTTATGTCTGTATAGCTGATGTGAATATGTTATTGAAACCTTTTAAGGTACCAAAAACACAACACATGTCTGGGAATACAGAATAAAAAACAATGTTTTGCAACTTAGTAACTGCATATCAAACAACACTGTAGGTCCCTACCCAAAGAAGTAAACATTAAATATTAAATACACTTCATATGTCACATTTTGAAATCCTAACTCAAATAAATACAATGCTCTACCCAACTTCAAAATCCATATAATTAGGATTAATGCTCGATTCCAAAATTAAGACTGAGAGGAATACCCATAACAGCTCATGCTTGAATAATGCAATTCAGGGTCATGTAATTTTTTTTGTATTTATTATTTTAGTATTAATTATTTGTACAAATATTACACAAAAGTATATAATATTCACTTTTAATATAATAAAATACAAGTGTAAAATAAAATATAATTTATAATTTAATATTCAGCAAATTTAATTACTACGTGAAAAATACACTATACATCTGTGCATGTAAAGCGCATATCAGTCGTGGGATTCATTCATTCAGCCAATTCATTCAAACAAGATGAATCATTTAGAAATGAAACAAATGGCTGTCTGAGTGAATTACTGAATCATTCATTCAACCGATTCGCTGATTCATTCAGGAACAAAACAAGCGAAGTAACTATCTTTATGAATGAGTCATCAACTCATTAATTTAACCGATTGGTTCAAAAATTCTTCCTTTCCTTCTTTATTTACTTATGTATTTATTTATTCATTCATTCATTCATTCATTCTAAAATTACTTTAACTCTACTTGCATCCTTTTTTTGAGAAGACCACATTAAGTTAAATTGACGACACCATTAGATACACCAGTTCTTAATAAATTTGGTTTTAAAGTGTGTAACCCCAGAAAAAAAAAACACTCTAATCTAATCTCAGCTTTGATACTCTTATCACCACAAAGGACAATCACCGACAAGGGCACATCCCTTTGAGACGTGCTGGTTACAGCGATAAGGCGCACACATGATGAAGAGTTCATGCAGTGTGTCACGTAGTGAAGAGCACAGCCTTCATCCGCTGCATTAAAACTGCAACAAGAAGACTGTTATTAGACAGTGACAAGACAGACAAAAAATGGTGCTTCTTCCATGTGTCAGCATGCAAGGTGGAAGTTCAAAGACCTGTCGCACGATCATGCATACGGTCATAATGTAATGCCTGCGCTCAATACGTGATTCATCCGCATCTGCCCTATTGATATTCCGGAAGTGTGAAATGGAAATAGCGCTGCTGAGCTTCGTTCCTCCAAATTTGACTGTAAGATGAGAATGTTCAAAAGCTCAATTTGATCACGTACATCCCAGGTCCTTCTTTTCAGCCCGACACCATGCACGTGCAAAAATTGCTTGCCTGTACACACAGAGATGTAATATCTGAAATAGAGTATTTTAAGCAGTCAGGCACTGTGCTAGAATGATCCCAAGAGTCAACAGTATAGAGCCGCTCTCGCGGCGAGTGTCGGGAGGTTTAAAGTCTATCAGCTCAGCAATTGGTTCTGAGCTTCTTAGATAAGGAGTCGATTAGAAAATCGAGCAGGTAGAAGTCCTGTCTGCTCGAAACTTGAATGTGAAGTTCTAGACTCACATTTAGCAGATTTCTGATTTGATTATAATGACAAAGGCAGCGAGACCAGACATACGTCACACACTCAGCCGATTCAGTGACTTGTGAGTTTTCGCTTTAGATTGGGTTTTTAATTTATCTAGCAAATGAGGAGTTATGCTCACAGTGTGAAACCCACAGAAGATATGCGAGTTGAATAAACCCATTTCTGCCAGTGGAGCACTGCATGAATAACATTCATATTCTTTCTTTTTCAAGTGCAAGTATGATACGACTGGCCTTGTGGCTTGTTCGTGACTGATTCTGTAAACGCTTCAGAGATTGAAGAGGGAGACAGATGGGCAAACTTAACTGCAGAGTACAATCAAAGATCAAAATGCAGAGAGGGAATACACTAAACTGGAAACGAGATGGCATGTTGATAGATCTCTTTTCAGCCCCCCTACTCAAACCCCCCATCATTTTCCCAACCACTGCACCAAAACTTATTCCGAGCATGTTTACCTACTCGAGAGAAGTCTTTTTCGTTCAATCATGGAGAGGGGTTGCTCAGGCCGTACTGCTTGGCAGTCTTGTCTTTCCCCGGAGAGCGAAATTCAATAGAGGTAATCATTACTGTGAGGACCAGTGCTCTGGACTGCCAACCAAAAATGCCAGACTAAAAAGATAAAAGTCTCATCAACACAAAAAGAACAAATAAAAATGCAAATTATGACTATCATGGAAGGAAACATAAACGAGAAAACAATTAGAAAAAGAACTGTCTTTCTCAATAACTGTCTAGGTTTCCTCCTAATGTAAGAGTGTAGGAGGGTTAACAAAATGCTTATACACAAAATCTCATTACCTTTATCGGTATAAAGGATGTTCATAATTTTCCTATCCTCAAATTTCAGGCAGTTTTTATGTGAT